TAAAAGAGACACAGGTTACATCTTATATTTACAACTAATTCTACGTAAACTCAAGTAGTTACCAGTCCTATCTTTGGTCGTGGACTCGTACTCGTAGACGTTATACCCTTTAATTCCTGAACTGGTGACTTCAGAGAAAATCATCTTACCGCGGGGGACGACTGAAACCCTCACGGTACCTGACTTCATTTGAGGGGAAACAAACCTGGTTGTTTACCTAGTAGGAGTAGAAATCCCACCTCAAAGACATCCTTTTATAAGTAACCGTTTAGTCAAAAGCGCCTAAGTGAAGTAGGGGTAGGGACATTTTGAACAAATGAGTTTAAGGTTAGATGATCTCAAATAATCACACTCCACTGATAACATCATCATTGGTGGTGATCTTAACTGAGTCCAGGATGAGTTTTATGATAGATGTCCTTCCAAATATTTTACAAGTTACCCAAATCTAACATTTGCTAAATGTAGCGATGAACAAAGTCTGACCGATGCATGGAGATATTTAAACCCAGTAGAATCCCAATTCTCATGGTTCAACTCAAATCACTAATCCAGAATTGACCACTGGTTGATTTCAAACCACTTGCTGTGTCATGATATCAGCTCTGATCTTTCTGCTGCGCCACTGATCACAGTATTACCTCATAATGTTTGAAACCTTAAAACAAAGAACCACATTCAAATAAATATTGGAAGTTTAACTCCAGTCTGCTTGAAAATAAAGATTACTGCCAAAAGATTAAATCTCTGATTATTGACATTTTAAACTCTGAAGAGCTAACAACGAGTTCATTAAACATAAAGTACGCCAACTCTCAATTTCATTCAGTAAACATTATAAAAAATAACTCCAAAGTAAGGAACTAGACTTAAACAACTACAAAGTTACTGCAATAAGCCTGACCCTTCTGCAGAAGACAGACAGAAAAGCCTTCAACCTAAATGAGATGAAAAGTATACTCAAAGAGCACAAGGGGCCTTTATTAGACCCAGAGCTAAACGGAGGAAGGGGAGAGGAACTCAGAATACTTCTGTGCTCTTGAAAAAAGAAGTCAGGTTAGAAATAGTATCACATCTTTAATGGTTGATAATGTAGAAACAACAGACGAGAAAATTATTTCCTCAGCTTTATACCTGAGGACTGTCAGACATGTTTAAATAGTAGAGCTAAATATATCCCCAAAGTGGAAGATAGCTTCAAACAGGCATGTGATAATCCAATAACAGCTGTTGAACTTGATGTGTCACGATCTGTCTGCGTTGTGTTTTGTCATGTCTTGATCTGTCTTTGGTTTCCTGTTTTATTTTGAAAAGTGTTCACGCGTCTTGCCTGTTGCTTCCTGTCTGTGTGTTCCCTCCTACCTGATTACCTGATTGTGTTCACCTGGTGCCCCTGTGTTTTCTCCTCCCTCCTCACCTGTGTCTTGTTTGTGTGATTAGTCCTGTGTGCATTTAAGTTTAGTTTTTTCTGTCTGTCATTGTTTGTGAGATTATTGATGTTGTTGGAAGGATTTTGTTCAGAGGGATTTTTGTGTTTTGCCTTGCCTTATTTTATTATTTTACTCTGTTTCCTGGCCTAGTTCCGCAATAAAAGTATTTTGGATTTCAAACAATATTCTGCATTTGGGTCCTGTGCACCTTGCCCTCCAGCCGTTACAGCTGCCTTGTAGGGCTACATGGTATAAGAAAAACATGCAATATGGGATAAAGCTGTTGATCATTGTGATGATGATATCACTTGCGATATTTAATCACATACTTAAATATACAGTGTTAATATCATTCTGCTTTGGGTTCAGTGCCAACATATACCCCTCTCTGATCACTTCCTGTTAGTCAGAGCAGACTTGAGAAATCCTCATGGTGCTTAGTTTGCAATCTATCATCAAGAAAGATGTAATTGTATGGAGAGAAAAAACATTGTAGGAATCAGGTAAGTACGATTTGAAACTTAAACACAAGACTGGGAGGAACAAGCAAGTAAAAGTTAAGCATTTTGGAAGAAAATACGGGATTTATTTCCCAGTAGTGTAATGCAAAGATTCCTTTCTTTTACAGAAAAATAAGTGATACTTCCTCTTGCCCTGACCCTACACATTTGTGTTTGTGTTGTTCCTTTAGAGGCAATAGTGAGTCAACAATACCATGGTCTTTAGTTTGCTGGATACTGTATGGAACTAATTTCTTCACCTGTTTATAAAAAAATGGTCTGCAAATGTAGAGTACAGCAAGTTAAACAGACTTTATTTTGTAAGACCAGCTGGCTGTTGCTGCTATAAATAAGAATGACATGTGAATCAGGCCAAGGTTGAAAGACATTGAATTATTGATACCAAGGAATTATACGTGAGATGGACCGTCTCATTACAGTTGAGGTACATTGGAATAGGGTTCCAATGTGCCTCAACTGTAATGAGACGGTCCATCAATGAATGCAACAGCATGCTGAAGGGAGAGACATGGAAAAGTATTAGTTGAAGTGAGGGGTTGAACAGAAGAACTGCGTGTATCAGAATAGTAATGAGCTTACATTTGTAGCCTGAGGCTCTCATCTGTTGGGTTCATTCTTCCTCAATGCTCTACAGTCCCAGGAGACTTGCATTCAAGCAAGAAGCCTTGAGACGTGACAGTAAGGATAGTAGCAAACATTACCATACTCCATTAATTCAGGGTTTCTTTCATATCACACGAAAACTCTGGTTAATTTCTTGCTTGAGTGTTGAGGTACTGGAAGATAAATTGTACTAATAACTGAAAGTATAAGCCACAACAAATAAGTAACAAATGTTCATGTCAATGCACGTCCCCCCCACCAAAAGTGGACAATACAAATGAAAAGTCGAGTCTGAGTGTTTGTGTGTGTTTGTATCTGAGCTTTTATTTTCTTGCCAACCCTTGGACTGATTTATTTCATGCTTGGCTTGCCCGTTGATGAGGACTGGAGGGTGTGCAGTGCCACGTGTGAAGTTGTTAGGATCAGCAGATCTGTAAAAAACTGTGTTAACCTATTCCACCCAGCTGGGCTTTAGCTAGTGCCTGAATTTAGCTGTGAAAGAGCAAATAGACGTGAATCAAAATCCACACA